TGATGAAATTATCCTGCAATTATATTGCTGCATATCATATGTACAATGGTATCTTAATTGTCCTATATGCAATATTAAATTTACTGATATTTATGTATATGTGAATGTGTTTAGAAATATTTGCATATGTTGATATAATTATTACAGAGTGTCATGCCATAGCTGTCCATGGCGACACTTAGGAAATAAAACAGATTTCTCACACCCCACCGCCTTGGTCATCATTGATTAGCCCAGCACAGGTTGCAACACTTACATACAAACTTACTTGGATCTAGATGACCTAACGCAGTAAATTGAGTGATAGACAATTATTATTGTGTCACCGAGCTTGTGACGTAACGTATTACTACGCGCATATTTGTGACGTCATAGATATCTATGCACATTCCACGCAGTTTAGTTTCATGATTTGTAGCAATTGGAATCACATTCTTTTAAAATTATAAAGGGAGGATGACATTGTGTGATAAATAGCTTAGTTTGTTAGGTTACTCGTGTGTTTTGAGACGGTTAATATCCTGAATTAAGAATAAACAGTATGTATTTAGCAGGCCAAGGCTCGCTAAATAAAATGTTTATTCCTAACAAAAACAAAAAAAAAGTACTGTCGGAAATAGAAAAAAACTGTATTTTCTCATTTATCTCTACAATTTATGTAGTTGTTATGTGAAAGTGTGAATATCGGTTACCCTAAGTTCGGCATAACTACAGTCTCAGTGGTAGAGAGATAGGAAACGGAGAAAAGGGACTTTACTGAGGGGAAATTAGTGCAGAAATGAGCAATGCGGTTTCTTTCTAAGTCCAAAAAGACTTATTTGGAACAGACCATGGCTTTATGCACATTCGTGTGCGACGATAATGTATCACAAAGGACACTTTTTAAATGCCCAATTTGAAATTGGACGTAGATTCATTATAAACGATAGCTGACGTAAAAAATAATAACTGTTATGCCGAAACTATTAAGGATGTAGCTACTATGCAGTCTCACTGTCACTATAAAAAGAAACAGAAAGGAGGGGTTGTCTCAAAAGCAAAACATTGGGTCGGGCTTGGGGATAGAGATATCAGCTAAGATAAGATAATCCTTTAAGGCAACTATACTCGGGAGGTACACGGCACGTCATAACAATTTACAAATAATATCCAGTCCTGTCGATCTTCGGGTGGTCATGCCACCTATATACTACGATGCGTTGCTATGGTTTTCGATTATCATACTCTTTTACATATCTCAACATAAACTATATGAAACTATATGAAAGAAAGACACGTGAGATGTTAATCAATAGATGAGACATAGTCAACACACATGAAAAGGCACAAAATATCTTTGAGATGACCCCTTGTGCCTGTAGGCAGCACGTGCATTTCATGCCAGGTGAGTCGACGGTCCGTCGTCATACCTGGCTGAGAGACCCAATTGCCATCTATAGTCTGATCTATTGTTTTCAGCAACTATTCGTTTTTTTTCTAAGTTTTGACCGATTTTACGAGTAAACATGCTTTTCTGGATATCGTATTACGCATCCCACTGAACGCCCAGTTAGGCCGAAGTGGGTTATTTCGACATATGCTATTTGCAATTGTGTAAATTTTAGGGATACAGAGTAACAGCCTAAAAACAGTTTTTTTCTATTTCCGACAGTACTATAATGCAGGATATTAACCATCCCAAAACACCCTCGCGTTATAACCTCACGAGAACGGCGTTAGTATGCGCTTGAGATTGTATCATTTTGTTTGACCGATGTATCGATGATAAATGAAACAGAGGATGACCACTTGCGAGTGTGCCTCGAAGGCGAGATTTTACCAACGTGGAATAAAAACATCCGTAAAGACAGATAAATGTACTCCACCTTGGCTCTGTTAGCTTTCGTGAGTGAGTGAGATAAAACGTAATGTCGTATCGGACATATTTCAGCCATATCGTGACTAAAAATGTTCTAGATACATAATAAAAACAGAGTTGAATTATAAAATCCTGTCAACGAAGGACAGTGAAAACCACTAGTAGATCACAGATATGAATATAATACTTTGTAAATCTGAAACTTTCTTACTATTAATACGATACAATATAAAAACAGGCGGGTATAGATAGCCGACAACTGAATGTAGATCACCATACTGGGGACCCTGGGGACTTACGTGCTGCCTGCATGGGCCCTATAGCTGGACTTACGGCATCGCTTAATGGCGATTGTATTTCAGTTTAGCCAAACATTAAAAGAACACATATTCTTCGATTACAAACACGTAGTATGAAAACACATTTGAAAGAAATGGGACTTACATACCTGTTAGCTGTTACCTGTTAGAGATACTGTTCCCGGATTATGTCTGCTGCTCGTTATCAGTGTCACCCTTGGCAGGTGTTAGATAGTGGAAAGCTGTCAGTGTGTCTGAGATATTTCCAGTTTCCAATAGCATACAATGTCATAAAATATTAGTGAAACTCTGTCGATTTCCTCCATGTAAATATATCCATAGAGCGTGTAAAACCATGCTTCAAATGCCAAACGATAACATCGCTCCTACACACATTATTTAAGTGTCTAGTCGACGGTGTCCGACAAACTGCAGTTACAGGAGCAACGTCCTCGCCTCACTCTCCCTGCTGTTATCATCTCCTGTTTGTACGTGTACATTACCGTCCTTGACCCACATTAACACTCCAACCAAGATGTAGGCCAAACGCACGCAAACAGCACTCTTAACTCAAAGCAGAGCTTGAATAAAAGATCTGGTTGTGTTTTCAAGCTTGCGCATGATCGCAAGGACCCGACAACGTGTTCTTCCTCTTGGGAATCACCACCAGACTGTAATAGGAGGCAATAGATTTTCAAAATGTTGAAATATTCAAATATTTATAATACTGTTTAATAGTATGAAACTATAAACGCTAAGATAAAATGTTGAGTAAACAGTGTTTTTACTTCTTAACGTTACTGTCATTATTGTTATATATTAATGTAGGGAACTAATTCTTTTGTTTGTTGTTTAACGTTGCACTCAGCAATATTCCAGCTATATGGGGTGCTCCTTAAATAATCAAATCCATCTATCGAACAAGATCCGAGTTAGAATTGGTCTTCAGCAACCCATGTTTCTCGTAAGAGACGGGTTGACATATGTCATCGTATACAAAAAAGCGTTTAGATCGATGCTCATGCAACAAAGAAAAAATAATCGGATTTTAACGCTTTTTCAAAGGACTTTTCATAATTGGATATGTCCTTGTTTATGATGTAGGCACGTTTCTTTTCGTAATTTACAATAAAAGGATGCTAAGAAATGATCCTTTTGTCTGGAATAATGCATATAAGGTTTGACATAAGGGTACATGGCACGAGGTATATCAATAATGTATTCAAAAAATTTGTAGAAATGAAGCGAAGGGATGAAATCCTCATGTCACAATATTTACTTTGTGAAAGGTACGACAAGATAGGGCGATTAAAGCGTAGAACGTTTGACAATAATACACACCATGCGAATCTTTAGACATTACTATTATGTCGATTAAAGAATATAAATATTCCATGACGCTAATAATTCACTTTAAAACTGTTTTATATACATTTTAATGAAAGGCAATAGGTACTAGTCCTTTTGTCGAAGGAATTTTCAGTTTTACTTTTAAAATATAATGAAATCGTTACTCAGTCACTTGATGTGTACTTACAACTCTATTAATGCTATACACAAAACTGAACTACGAACATGTTGTAGTTCGGCTTCACTTCCACACCTGTCACAAGGTGACAAATATGGTGTACCATACTGTAACGTGAACAGCACGTGCACATCATGTCAGTGTCAGTAACGACACTCTCTACATGAAACTAGACGGGCGTTACTGAGCACAACGTGACACCAGGAGATCCACTACTTGTGGATGTCCCCAGAATCTCGCTATTTCGACCGCCGTCTGACCGTAGTTGCTGTGGGCGTTGATGTCCGCCCCGTGGAGAGAGAGGACCAGCTTCACCGTCTCCAAGACTCCTGCGAAACAGGCCCAGTGAAGTATGTTGGTATGAGACTCGTCCGTCAGAGACACATCAGCTCCTTCCGTCACAAGAAGTTCCACTACGTCTTGCTGCCACAATCACGGGTGTCACGCTGTTCTGTCCTCTACTGTTGATATTCACCACGTTCAGTGACTGGACCAGCTTAACCATCTTAATGTCGCCTCCCCGACAGGCGTAGTGAAGGATGTTGTCAATGACATCGTCCACCAGTGACACACTGGCTCCTTTCGTCACACTGGCTCCTTGATGTCCTGACCAGCTTCACCGTATCCAAGTCTCGAGCGAAAAAGGCCCAGTGAAGGATGTTGGTATGGGAATCCTCCACCAGAGACACGTCAGTTCCTTCCGTCATAAGGAGCTCCACCCCTTGTGAATCCACACAGAGAATATCACAGATATCAATGTAAAACTGTCAAATCTATAATCTAAAACACTTTAACTATGCATGACAAGAAAAACAGGCTATAGATTGCCAACAACCGAAGGTAGATCACCATACTAGGGACCATGGGGACTTACAATACTTTTGCTGGATTTACGCCATCCCTTCAGCTGTCAGCATGTTTTGACAATCTAGCCATAACAATAAAATAGCATATATACTGCAGTTAAAAAAAACATAGTAAGTTTAAATTGACTTGAATTGTTTTGTTTTGGGAGGACAATGATTTTACAGTACTTTAACCCCCTTTGAGGATACAGCCACTAGTAATACCAGTTGTTTATTTAAACTACCAAGCATAAACCTTCAAGCTTCATGTATCGTTTCGCATGACCCAAGACACTCGTGCTGGATTGGCCTGCCGAAAGTCAGGCACAATTCAGATCGTCTTTATATCTGATTTCGGGGTGTCTGGTGTGGAATCAGTCAATCCTGTAATCTTCCTGTTTGTCATAGTGTATTTTCTACTAATCACAGTCCATTGCATATGGTATGTTTTTTTCCACTGCTCGCCGGCATCTGCCAAATGCTTCAGGACATTTTGTTCAGGGAATTTTTTTATTGAGGACAAGGTGGGGGTTGTGTCTGCATTGTCTCATGTAATTCAAACACCTATTTTATTTTCAAAGTATTTATTGACTTTATTTAATCACAGCACAATGTCCATGGTTCTGAAGGCAAAACCAAGCTGTATTTATAGTAAGCTCTGCAAATATCCATGCGTTCCATTCAGCTTTTCTTTCTGTATGCAGTCTGGACGAAAACAAACTGAAGAACCGAAATTACACCAAACTTAAATGTATGAATAGTGGACGAGCTTTGTACTCGAAAGTGGACCGAACGGAGAAGCGCTTATCCAGCGAATTTGTTAGCTTTGCGACCTCGGACTCCAAGCCCCGTGACCTTGAAGACTGATCCAGCCAATGGTGTTTTCTCCACCTGTGCTGGGGTCATCAGGAACCGCGATGATGTGACGTAGAGGTCGGCGAAGTCCTTTCCACCGAAACAACACGATGTTATTTGTCCGCATGGCAATGTGACAGTTCGGATCACCTTTCCTGGACAGACAAAACACCAATCCATATTAACGAAACTATTTCTTAAACATTATTGATTATAGTCCGTTTGGCTCAAAAGCGGACCGATGAATTGCGGACCAACTCGAAAACTAATACACATATAATATTCAATGACACGCTGATAAAAAAACATCATCAGGCCAACTCTTAGAGTTTTTTGCAGAATTTATGTCCTCAAAATAAACAAATTATTTAACAAACAGGACAAACATTCTGCAAAAATATCACAGAGTTGGTCTGATGTTTGGTAGTTTCGCAAATAGATCGCAATTCATCGGTCCGCTTTTGAGCCAAACGGACTATACACTGTGTGTTCAGGATACATTACGACAGACTGTCACCGTCTGTAACTCAGTGCTTGACAGTCAGATAAACGATCTACCCAAAAGGAGTAAGAGGACTTGTATCAACAACCTGACCACCCATTCCCGTTTTTCGCCTGGGTTTCTACTGGTGGATAAAGTCACCGGCTGCCATCATGAGCTCTGTAGCTCATGAAGTCCGTATCCTCCAAGAATACTCGTTCTCTTCCTAACTGTTACAATTGTGTGTGAAAATATGAAAAAAAACCCCAACAAATTAGAATGCGCTGATGACCTGAAGTACTTTGAGCGATGAATCTACCAGGAGTAATTAAAAATGGTAACTTTAGTTACTAAACATTATGCAAAGGATACAGTTAATTGTCTTGAACCATTCTGCAAAAGTATTTCATCTAAATCTTTCAGTTTGCATTGAGAAGTTAACTTTGAGTCTAGAATGGGACACACAGAGGAAGAAAGAGTGTTTGAAAGCCTGGTTACCTGCAATGTGACTTCAAAATGTATTACATCAATAATGGAAGATGGACAGATGTTCAATTCGTCACCAATATTCAACAACATACCAGTCTCGGGATCGAGTCGGACAACTTTCCCAGCGTCAAAACAGGCCACCCATAATTTTCCCTCAGTATCAATGGCCATTCCATCTGGGCCTTCAGTGGAGTTAAAGTCAGCCACAGTTCTCTTGTTGCCTGAAACAATACATGGTCACCTGATGGAAACGGTGATTCTTCTGACCCACTGAGCTTTCTGGACCAATTCTGTATGTGTGAATAGAAACAACGAAACCTTTCGTAAGAAATCTCTGCTGAAACCAGAGACGACTGCACAATTTTGTCTGTAAAATGAGTGTTCTTTCACGCCGCATTTAGCAGTATTACACCTACATGACGCGATCTGGACCAGGCAATCCAGTGAAAGACACTATGAGATATGATGACAGACCAGGTTTGTGAATCATTAGTGATGATACCAGGTGTTTGCAAAAAGGTGAGCGTATCCTGTCCCAACGACGGCACCCATCATACACATTTAGAAAAGCTTGTCAACTGTTCAACTGAAAAAAATAGTGAACGAATGCTACAAACGGTATTGCATCGGACATAGTTTTGGTCACTAACGAATCACATATTGACACTCAGGAAGAGGAACATTTTTGTTGTAATAGATCCACAGCGCCCCATTGCTGTTCGCCATGTTGTGCCCCTGTGTCGGTGGAGGATGGGATTCTGGTAGTTGAGGGCACTAGTTTATTTTGCCCAGCACACATCTTTGACCTTTACCTCAGCTAGCAGATGGTAGAATGGGCCCGGTTATATCAATTGATTGGTCATGCCACACCCTGTGCATGACAAAACTTCAATTTTGAATGATCACAACAAGATTTGTTTGACTTAAGGAACGCGACAACCCTATTCATGTAAATTTCCATTTTGCTAAGAATCCTATGCCAGAAGGCCGTGGCTCATAGGCCAGTCTGGTGGAACATTTCTCAGTGTCTCTGCTTGAGCAGGCTTTCTTGGTATCCGTGGTATCGCTTGGTATAGGCGTTTAATATCGTCCTTGCTGACACTCCACGGTGGGTGGGGAACAAGGAAAGTCAAACACAAACATGAAACACCCTTATAAAATACGGTCTCACGACATGACCCTATTTTTCTCCCTGTGCTGCGACGACGTTTGATTCTGGAATCTACCAAGAATTGGCGACGTGTATGGTTCAGTTACGAATGACGCTTTCTGCTTCAGTGCCATGGCGGTAGGGTATGTGTCTCTCGACGTCGAAATGAACGTTTGGCCCAGAATTGTGTTGCGCAGGTTGGCCGATATGGTGGTGGTTGTGGCATGATGGGGGCCAATTATCCTACAAGCAGACATCTAACTTTGTTCATCTTCAGGACAATTGAACTTCTATTCCGTACAGAGACAAAATCTTAATGGTTCAACATAGCCTTAGATTTAGCCACTCTGATTGATGAGTTTTCGTGGTCAGATGACCTGAGTGGCAGCTGTCATTTCCCCATCATTCTTCAAGCTAGTACTCCATGTATTGCCATCCCTATTCCTAAATAAAAGTTTAACAAGGCTGACTGGTGCACCTTCAGTACTATGAATGAATAATAACATTTTATTGATGATCAAGACCAGATCAAATCACATTCTGATAAACTGATTGACACTGCCAATTCAACCCTCCCAAAGACCTTGATAAAAATACGTACAAAATCACCATGGTATATAGGAAAACAGTATGAAACATCCCACCAGGCAAAGTTAAAGCATTTGCAAATGCAAAACATCGTAGGAGAATTAATTCATTCCGAGCCACACCGGAAAAGGGTAACTGTAAAGCTGATGATGCCCTGCAGAAATCCGTATAAAATACTCATCGTCCTCATATTGATATAGAACAATTTTTTATGGATAACAACTTCTTTATTTCGTGAGTGCGACGTTTCGATACAGATTCTTGTACCGTTGTCAAGCAAGAGTGATACATGAAGTGGAGGAGATGTATACATATACTGAATATAACAATGAGACAACATGATTGACAAAGAAAACAACATAATTGCTATAATTGGTTAAGCAGTAAGCTGATGAAGCAAGTGAGTACACAAAGGGTAGTGAATGGAAGCCAGAGATGTACAAATACAGGAGTAGTTACAATGAAGGAGATGTTATACAATAGGTGAGATGTTTATACAATAGATTGGGCTTGGTGGAGGAGTGCATCATAAGCGGATGGAATGAAGTTTCCTTGGTCACGGTTGATGGTGGGCTTATGGCGTTCGATGTGAATGGCTTCGGTGAGCTTGCTTTTAGTGAAGTCTGTTTGGTCGTTGGCGAGAATGGTGATGTCAGACCACTCTATTTGATGATTGGGGTTTGCTTTGATATGGTCAGAGATGGCTGATTTGCTGTCGGAATTAGTAACGGAGGTGCGATGTTCTTTGACTCGGGCGTTGATGGGTCGCGATGTTTCACCTATGTAGCTTTGTCCACAATCACAGTTTATCTTATAAATAACACATTTCGGGTTGTTGTTGTTGTTGAGGGTCGGTTGTTTTCTTCCGTTGGCATGGAGGATGTTGTTGAGGCTGGAGGACGCTGAGAAGGTTGTGTCTATGCCTGCTTGTTGTTTCAGGAGTCGGCTGATTTGGTGATTCCCAGCCTTTTATTATTCTGATTGTGACACCTTTTCGCAACCTTTTATTATTCTGACGTTAGACGTATAACGAATTATACATTGACGAAGACATCATGTGGGATATACACAGTGATGTACAATATAAAACGTTTTGACAGAGATGAACAACTCTGAAAACAGAACGTTTACCCTGGTTACTGTGTTGTGAGTCTACTTACTTATAGTCCCAGCTGTGATGTCAAAGTCGAAGGCCCAGACCTGTCCGGGTACTGAGTCGATGTAGTACATGACACTGTTGTCGGCACTCCAGTCCATGCCGTTGCTGAGGCTGATGTTGCTGATGTGTTTCCTGACGCTCCGATCAGCATCCAAGCTGTACAATGACGCCTTATGCTTTGGCCAATTGTCGACGTCAGGGTTATCCTCACCACAGAAACACGACCCTATGTTGACAGTATCAAGTGGTTATTCTTGCACAACTTCTTTCATTTAAAGCCAAATACATTATTAATTTATTATATTTGCGAGGAAAGTGTGTCAGTATAATCCGTTTACCTGCATAAGCAGCCTCTAACGTTTACAATAGTTCAAGGAAATTGTATCATATTACATTTCGAATGGGTAAATCTCGGCGTGTGATGCAACTCAAGAGATTTCCCTCTTTATTGAAATTGAAATAAGCACTGCAAACAAGCCACTGGGGTTCGATGACAGGTTCCTGGTATTCCAAATTGCACAGTGAACTGCAGTGCATAAGAAGACTCGGTCACTGTTGTTAAGTGGCAAGAGACAAGAACATATGAACATACCAATCCAGAGTCTACCGGAAGTATCCACTTTGCCGTCATTGAGCATATTAGCGTCGGCCTCGACCTTGGCAATGCTTGTGACCTTGCCACTGTCCCAAGAGTCCAAGATGTAGAGATCTGTCTTCTGACTTACCAGAAAGCCGCCCTTCTGTCGCGGGATGATGACACTCGCCACAGAGCCTGCATACATAGGACATGACATAGTGCTTTTACTGAGGGAAGGTAAGAAGGAACGACTAAAGGGAAGCTTCTGCTGGACATCCAGAGATTATCTGGCATTGTAGAACGCACTGATTACTCATTCAAGGATGTTAAATTTGTAGATAAATGTGTAAGTTAATATTCATCAGCATTATTTCAGTGATATAGTGACAAGAGAAAGATATACGTCAATAACAAATATATGAAAAAATCCTATTTAAACGGTATAAAATCTTGTCATCAAAGGACGGATTAACATCTAGATTATCTCATTTTATTCAAAACTAATTTGGGAGCATTTAAAATTGGTAAATTGTTAATTAACAACACAATATGAAAATGGGCTATAGAGGGGAGATCACCATACTAGGGACCATGGGGACTTTGATAATGAGTGAAAACGATGCTTTATGCCTTGGAGTTCACAATCGACATACCCATTATTGGATATGGGAGATTGTTGCCTTGCATAGACATTAAACTTGTTGCTCTGACGAATACTAGTGGTCTCAGTATCGACCTATTACAGTTTGCATGGGCACGTTATATTTTCAAATTTAGAAAGGATTTTAACAATGCACAGTTCGTTTTGAGGCTAGTCTATGACATGAGCGCAACAACTTCGCGTTACAATTGGTCTTCGGCAACCTTTATGATCAACCGTTTCGGGTGCTGAGACTCTGCAGATTTGGTTCATGCGTGTTATCGTATAATTTAAGTCCTTAACTCACTGATTTATCTTATGATTTCACTCACTGATACATCTGGCACAGACTCGAATATTTACAGACCATTGTTACGTTGTTGTAACGTTGTAGCACATAAACAAACGCGCAGATCAAAAGATCTGATTATTGACAGATAAACTCACCTCCAAGGTTCAGTCGGCAATTCTCTCCCGTGACGGCGTTGTATCTGTAGACGTCGTTAGGGAACACGTCCACGTAGTACAAACACTGCGTTATATCGTCCCAGTGCGGGCCCTCCCCATGGTTAACACAATTCCTCACAACGACCTCAATCTTCTCAGACATAATCTGAAAGAGACATTTGGATATGACGAGAGTATGATTGAGTGAGTTTAGTTTTACGCCGCTCTCAGGACTAGACAATCCAGTTATCGACACGTGTCAACCAAGTTAGCGAGCCTGATCACCCGATCCCGTTAGTTGCTCTTTCGACAAGAATGGATTACTGAAGACCAATTCTAACCCGAATCTTCATGAGCAAGATGTGAAAAATGTTGTAGTGGATCTCAAGGTGAGATCATGAGAAATACCTCCTATTTCATATGGTATATCGGAGATGATTGGCGAGGAACAGAAAGCTGTCATAAAGGACTTCGTTAAGGGGGAGGTGAAGATTAACAGCGACATCAACCTTGATTGAGTTCATAGTATGGGACCACTTAATGACAACAGACCCACAGGGCAGTGGCTGCGGTTGTAAACTCTGAAGATAGATGAAAAGTCCTCATCAATGTCAAGAATCCCAAGGATACACAATTTGGCGTCAGGGAACGATTCCCACCTGAAATTGTAGAACACCGGCGAGAACCTCTGTTCATCCATCCTGAAAGTGGCTAAACACAGAGGGCTTAAGGCAGGTCAAGTTTAAGCCAGTCGACCTGGTCACTGGCCTCCTTATGGCAGTGTTGTCAAACATTCCTACGATAACTTCTTTAAGTGGCATTTAGAAGCTGATATGATGAAGTTTTATGGGTTGACGTCTTTGCTGCAGTAGATTGAGTGTGTTAACATCAGCAATGGTTCAGCCATATCGTGACTACAAAAGCGATCTATCAACATAAACCAACTTGTATATAGTAAATACCTGTCAATGAACGAGAGTAAAATCGCCATATTATCACATAATTTCTTTTAAAACTAGGACATAAAGGTAAAACGTTATTACTCTAAACAACATTAAAATAATAAAAAAAAGAAGAAAGATCGCCAACAACTAAGGTAGATCACAATACTAGAGACCATGGAGACTTACAGTACTTTTGCTACCTGCATGGGGGCGGGGTGGGTGGGGGTGGGGTGGTAACCTAGTGGTTAAAGCGTTCGCTCGTCAAACCGAAGTCGGGTATCGATTCCCATTTCTGGTATCCCCCGCCGTGATATTGTTGCAATATTGCTTAAAACGGCGTAAAACCATACTCGTCATCCAGTCAGCCAGTGCTACCTGCATGGACTGGATTTTCCGATCTCCTCAGCCATTGCCGATTATAGACAAAGCTTGCCACGAATTAGATTGACATGCATTCTACGATTAAAAACTGGGAGCCTTAAATTTACCTTGAAAGACAAGGTCTTACTGAGACAATCAGATGCTTGATGACAAGTGATAGCATCTACACCGACACGTTGCAGCTATTGTAATAAAGAACTTGCCAATCTGTAAAACACGTTCCTCGTCATCCCATGATAGAAAATCATACAAGATGCGCCGATTAGAAGAGGAGCGTTGACACATCTTAAGGCATACAGTGTACGAAAGCCTGATACTGTGAATGCAAATGTCATCGTACCTCGTCGTTAAATGCGAATGTTGTGTGTGAAGAATACAGCCACATACAGCTGCTAACCAAAAGTCTGTTTAATTATTTTTAAAACATTTGTTTCAACACATACAGGGGAATTTGACAATGTAAAATGATTGACATGGTGAAAATAAGTTGATGTACATGTTTAGATATTAGTAAGGGGTAGCTCCGCCCTTATTGCGTATCACAGTTCGAATACTTTTCGGCATACTGTCGTACAAGGGTTGAAGGGTGCTTTTTTGAGTCCATACCAGTGTTTCCTCACTGATTGTCATAGTTCTCTACTGGATGTTGGCGTGTCCCGAGCTATTTTCTTGCCAATGATATCCCAGAGGGTCTCAATGGGATTCAGTCAAGCAGATTAACTCCCTTGGCAGCGAGAAATGCACGCGTTGATCTTGAATTATGAGCAGGGGCATTGTCTTGCTGAAATGTGAATTCTCTTCCAGGCAAATACAAGGCAGGAACCATGTTCTTTGATGTCATTGATGATTTTTTGCTGATATCTCTGGCTGTTTAGTGTACCGGTCACACGTTTCAGAATTCCTGGGCCATTTGGAGACAGCATTCCCCAAACATGAACTTGGGGTGGGTGCTTACAGTTTTCTGCAGACAATAATGCCGTTACTATCATGAGTTAAACGCCTCACTTTCATTCGTTGACGATTTGAGAAGCACCTGAAGATAGATTCATCCGAAAAAAAACCTTTATTCCAATCTGGCACTTCAAAATGTCGGTGTCGCCCAGCCCACAATAATCTCTTCTTTCTCTGAGTTTTATTCAGTAGAGGTTTTCTACTCCGAACGTAACACCTGAGTACAAAATGTCGAAGTCTCCGAGAGATGGTCATCTGGCTGACCCGTCGACCCAGAGTTGTGCGCAGTCTCCTGTGCAAAATGTTCAGGGTTGCATATCTATCACGCAGACACACTCTTCTGATGACTCTGTCTTCACGTTGCGTCGTTCATTTCGGCCTGCCTGACCTGTAGTAGACCTCAACTGACCCTGTTAGGGTATATTTCTTGTACAGTTTTATCATGCCTTGCACGGGAACGAAACAGTCATATTTTTCTGCAATATATTTTTTTCACAGCTTTCCATGACATACCAGGGTCTCTGAGAGTAATAATTTGGGTCCTTTCGAAAATGGTCCATTTCTTCTGTTTAACACCTGTCATTCTGTAAAACGACGAAGCAAAATGATTTACAAAACATTTTTCATTCAATGTGTGAAGGTAAAAGTGACTTTGAAGTCAAAATTTCCTAACATAGTTAAACTTTAACATAAATAAGTTTCACCTCAATACTAAACAGACAGAAGTTCTTAAAGATGATGGATGAATTTGACTTTAGCGATGTAATAAGTAAAAACATATTTACTCATGTTTTCTCCTGCTCTGTCGCTTCAGGGTCATACCTCGGAATCCCGGTGCGATGTCAGAGTAGGCATGAGGAGGCCATAATTAACATCACTTTTCAAAGTTGCCAATCTTGTTGGTGACATTACCATATGTGAACATTTCAAACTATACATTTGTAATTAGTTGGGGCTAAAATTGTAAAAGTTTCCTCATAACGACTCACACACCATCTCAAATATGAATTAAACGGACTTTTGGTTAGCAGCTGTATATGTTACATGTAACAAGTGTTTGTCATCCAACGACAGAAAATAACATGTGATTCTAAATGGTACGACACGCACGCACGCACGCACACGCACACACACAGTGACACATATATATTTTGATATTGATATATCTTTCGATATCGTCGGCCGAATTGGACACGGCCAAGGAGGTGGCAAAGTTACAGATAGAGGAGTAAGCTGGGTTGATTATGCTGTAGTGAGCGCTGATGTTTCCCAACAAACGACGATTTCGCGGTGCTTGGTATTGAACCATTGTTATGAGACATCCACTCACCTGTTACTGCAACATGAACACCAAACTTTGATGAGCCCGTTGCACTCTGATGAAAGGAAAAGGTGAGTTCTGCGCCAGGAGCCAAAATAAGCTCAGGTCTGAGATTTAAAGTGATGGTGCAATGCCGAGCCTATGTTTAGCTAGGGTAATATCTCCGCGCTGTGGATAGATAATAATTCAAATCTCTTAACAATAGGAATAGTAGAGCGCCCTTTGTCGCCGTTTGCTGTAACGTATACGAGAATGCCTTTGTTGTATACACTGTATGAAACCAGGTCACACAACGCGGATCATCTCCTAAAGGCAGTCGGTTGTGTAAACAAACCTCGAAGGAAGATGTTTACAGATATGGTCACTGTAGGGTATCTAGGAGTGAACAAGTCTGAACAAAATGCGGACATAAATGGATTAGTCAGACAACTTCATATGATGTAGGATTGATTCATATCTTTGTCTTTCATAATCCAAATGACAGCCTAGTCTAATATGTTGAATACATCCACACCCGCCTCACATTGTGATTGAAATGCGGTTCACATCAGTGCACATCCAGTTCAGCCCACCTGGA